ATACCGAAAGCTCTTTACGTCAACGGTATATTTTCATAACTTCTTGTATCTTGAGTTCGGTGGTATATATTGTGTCGTTGTTGTTAATGATGATTAGGATAGCAGACTCGCGAATCCATCAGGTAGGAAGTTCGTTAACGCAACTAGTAGTTCACTCTTTTTAAATACTCATATTTCAACCGGTGACTTTTAGTTTGCATCTAGGTTTTCCCTCAGTCCTACATGATCTCCAGGTATTATCATTGGAACCCAAGCCATCTGTCCATAACTTATGACTTAATTTGTTCAAATACTGTAGAATCTACAGTAATTCTGGTGTGAGCTCAAAGCTTTATGTCAAAAAACGATATCAGTTTCCCTAGAATTCTTAAGGATGGTCATGTTGGCTGAATTATGAGCGATGATAATCAGACCCGATAAAGTAGTGCCTGATGAAATTCAAAAGTCCGATACCTAAAGCAATGTGGATTATTGTTTGAGTTGTGCCATATCTAAATCGTAGTAAATGTCACAAACTATAGCGTTTCCCTAAAAATGAATCTCACTTATGATGTGGTTTTGTTCTATGAGCTGGGTGGTTAATTTGCGAAGCTTTCATCACCCTACTGGGTGACATCTTCAGCGCATACTTCAATTTGAAGTGAGCTTTTAGATTTCTCCACGAGTTTATTAATCATCTCTCCTGATGACCTTGGACGTGATTGGTTGTTTATGTGTGTTTTCACACCTTCTAGGTTACTTGTATTGGAACTGACTGTTTCTTTGACTTGAACTTTGACCCTTTGTGTGTGAAGTTTCTTTCTTATCGGTTGATAAATTTTGTCTATCTCCATGTGTCTATTGATTGATGATTCACTGGAATGCCAAGCTTCTAAAAATTCTCTAGCATTCTTGTTGTTTCCTCTGTCCAATATTTCAACGTTGTCCCAGTCGAATTGATGTCCGTGGTTGTCTGTGTGTAGTGATATGAGGGAGTGGATATCATGTCTTTTGACGGCTAGCTTATGTTCGTGGATACGAAGACGAAAGGGACGTCCACTTTGGCCAATGTAGTGTTTTTCGCAGTTGTTACAATTTATTTTGTAGATGATGTTGGTTTTATCTTCTTTCGCTGTTGAGTTGAAAGTCGCTGCCTTTTAATCATTACTCAAATCGTCAAACTTGAACGAAGAAACACAGGAAGAGATACGCCGAACAATTGTACCAATGGTCAAACAGAAAAAACAACACACACAACTCAACGCTCAAGAACTAAAGGCCCTCAAAAAGCTGAAAAATAGGAAGGACATCGTCATTCTACCAGCCGACAAAGGAAGAACAACAGTAGTCATGGACAGAGAAGACCTCAGCGGATATGCTCACATGGCTATTGCAGAAGACTTGGTAGGGGGAAAGTGTATCTGCTAGTTGCAGAAAGTCTACCTTGACACTTTAGTGTCAAAGAAGTTCGACTTATGTTCACGCAACAACTGGTATAACATCATACTTCTGTCAATTCTGAGCAAAACATTAGGTCACTTCAGAGATGATAAAGAAATGACCCAGCGATTTGGAGTGAGCGTCATCCAAAGCGTTTCCGACAGACTGGAAGTCTTCATCAACAGCTGCTTTTCTCAGCACTGAAAATCCAACGTCTGGTCATATAGGGTAAACAACAAGGAACTCTGACAGCGAGCTTCTCAAAACTCAAGGAACAATTAATAGTGAAAAGTGTTATTATCTCAAGTTATTACCGATGACATCGAACTTTATTTGGCACAGCTTCGCTTGATAAGTTGAATGTACAGTGAGTCAACAAGACTGAGCAAAAATATAACTGCTAGTTTTTCATCTTCGCGAATAGAAAAATAATCCCTTCGTTATATAGTCCAAAGTTAACCATGTGTGAAAGTAGAAAACTACTTTGTGATTTTGTACTCCATAATGACTGGTAATCAGAGGTTTCACCATAAACCTGCCTCATTTCACATTCTATGGAACTGGCTCCACAGAAGCGATTAAACTGACAGATGCAGATGGAATTGGGCAGGTTATTCAGTCTTCTGTAACCTTAATATGGATGGGAAAATCAAAAATTCAATTCAATAGTTACTATGACCCGTTGCACTAGATGTGGCTCTCGTGGCCCAAGTGGACTAGTGGATAACGCTTTGGCGTTTGAAACTATGGGTACTGGGTTCGAGCCTCGGTGGGAACATAATCACTCACTGACAAATGCAGGTACATCCAGCTGACGAGTCCCAAATTGGACGAAATGCGCATCCTGGATTCTACTGCTAGCCACCATCCAGCAATTGTATACTTAATCTGGATGTTTGCAGAGGATGAGATTTAATTTAATAGGGGGAAATTCTCTGATGTGTTGTCTTAAGCATAGGGCAGTTTTCACTAGGCGAAGATGTCAGTTTATGCTTACAAATCTAGAAAGTGCTCTATCGCACCAAAATAAACCTATGACTAAAATGAATAGATCAACATGAATCAATTTAACATTATCTAGATAAACGCCTAGCTCGCTTGCTGATATTTTAGATTATTTAATTTTTTTCAACGGGTAGGCATCTAACCAGATTCGGACGACATTCTGTGGTTTTATTTTGCGCTGATATTACTCACATACCCACGGTCCTTAGTTCAGCCTCTTTAACCAGACAAGTTCAGAAATCTTTACCCTATATAACCTCAATATTTTATTCTATTTAAACATATAGCTCATTAGAGTGCATTTCGTAATAACTGTCTTTTCGATTCGCGTTTTTTATGAGTAATTACAAGTCAGGTAATACACCGATTGAATGGGCGATTAGGCATTGTACGTTTAATAAGGCTAGTATATTTTAGTATATGAAATGCACAACCATTACCTTACAGTGGACTTACATTTTCATCTTATCAACCAGATAACAACTATTCTAAAGTTTTCTACCGTGAGGGTAGAACCATGAGACTGAATGACACGAAAAGCAGTAAGTTGAAAATTGTCTAAATACTGTCCTGTATTTGACGGGAATCTTATCGGTGATGTCCAATTTTCAGGACATTTAGGAGAATCAATTCGCTACTTTTCTCTTTATGCACTTGTATTTTTTCTCAACATGGATCAAAATCTCTTGACTTAATTATTTATTGAGCTCTTCCTTTTGTAACATTTTTTAACAAATCATCAAAAACGAGGATTTAGAATGCAGGGTATGCTTTCTTCCATCGAGTCGAACCCCTAAGTTGTACGAAAATGGTCGACAGGCGTCTAGGTGACTGTTGCCTACCACACACTAACCCATAAGGTCTTAACTATATAGATCCTTGCGTTGAAACATAAGTAATCATTGAAGACCATTCAAGAGATTAAATGTGGAAATTTTCATCTTAGAAACAAATAAATAGGTAGTCAACTCAGATGGAAAGTAATTAACAGACGAAATAGCCCTACTCTTCATCATTTTGTCTCTTCGTTTTCTTTTGGATCTCATACTGGACTTTAATTTTCAGTCCTCTAAGTTCTACGCACTGTATTTTATTATAAACTTGTGAGTTCTTCTCATCTTATTTCATTCGGTCTTGTTGCCTAATTCTTTCTGACCTATCAAACTGCCCCTTAAAATAGTTTTTACGAGGAACTATGGTCAATATATATATATATATATATATATATATATATTATATATATATATATATATATTGTAATGCTTAAAGATAACGTGTTATCCTTATGTTCCATTTCACTATGACGTTGTTAAAATTTTACTGTAAAATTTTACTATAACTCGTCTTATTAAATTTTAAAAATTGTGCACATATGAAGAAAACCATTAAAAGTGATGTGGACCCGCATTATTCTGCTCTAATGTTCATTCTTTCCCTTCAGAATGTGATGACTTCAGTTATTTTGCCAATGAAATAAATATATACACTTTGAATTCTAAGAAATATGCTACACAAGCATTATTGATTTACTAAAAAATTAATAAACAAATCAATCAACATTGACTGGCCAGTTTATACCGATCTGTTTACTTCAAATCAAGCTCATCAGCTGTGTATGATTACAACGATAATCTGATTAGTATGTGTTTTTAATGAATCCAGTTAATAGTGTTCATTCACTTACATCATCAGAGTCCAATATATGATACCTTTGATAGAAATAGCCTCAGTTGCATTTCATAGCCTTAACTACAACTGTATTTCGACACCTGAATATGTTAGGGTCATTGTTGTCAACACATTTCAAAAATGTAATGAGTAATCAAACTGTAACTGCGGGGAATGGTGGTGAAGATTGGTGAAAGGGTAGTGGTGATGTGTTGTCAAAAGAAACAACAAAAGAAGTTGAATAAGCGTAATAAATACAGTTACGTAATAAGATGAATAGTTTAATCAGTGAGTTGTGATCAGACAAACCGAAAGTACACACACATACAAAAATAAGTATATATATATAATTGCAGATTGTACAGCTAAGTAAATGAATTCGCCGAAAAGAGACTCTTGGTTGAACTATGTGTTTTGTTTTCACTGGAATATAACCTTTGAACTTTACAAGTATTTATTTCTATCGTTTTATCTTGAACTTAAGATATTATACATCTTTGTCATACGAACTGAACAAGTATATATATTTTATTTTTCAATGAGTTCTACTCAGTTTGCATTTAATCGATGATTCATAATGAACTTTCTTTTGATTGTGTGATATTATTTTGACGATTCTTATTGGATAATCTAAGGAGAATTTTTTGTCTTTTCAAGTACATACATGAAAAACAGTTATATAGTCGAGATAATCAGAACAGATTTGAACTGTGAGTGAAAATGAAACTGTCAAACTGCATCACTATACAAATTGTGTCTATTCATTGTTGACTGATTCTACTGAAATGATTTGCAGTAACACAACGGATTATAGTTACTTAGTAGGAGATTTTCGCGCTTATGCATGCCCAATAATTGCTGTCGTCGGAGTGACAGGCAATATTTTCATAATAGTTATTTTTGCTCAGGATCGGCCATATTCAAGATTTTCATTCTATGCTATCTCTTTAGCTGTAGCAAATATTACCACATTAACTGTGAACACATTCATTGATGATTTCCTTGGACGAGGACTATCTCATGCAACAAATCATCGTTTGTATTACAAACTCGATGTGTTATCAGAATTTTGGTGTAAATGTGTGGAGTATATATCGAATGCAATGTATTTCATATCATCTTATCTTATTGTCATTTTTTCAATTGACCGACTGTTGACTATTCATCAACCAATAAAATTCTATTCAACATTTCATAAACGCTGGGCACTCAGTGCGTGTATCATCGTCTTCTTTGTTGGAATAATCAGCAATACACCTTTGTTGTCTGTGCAAACTCTAGTGGTTGATCCGTCAAGTCGAACAAATTTCACATGTCGAATGATTTCTGAACATCCAGTTGCAAAATTCACGATAGCATTTGAAACTATCATCACTTTTACAATACCATTCTGCTTGGTATTGTTCTTAAACACTTTTATCTGTATTCGATTATGGAAGTTGAAAGCGAATCGAAGAGCTCTTCTACCAACGGATTCTTCACGGAATCATATGGAAATGGGACGAGTGTTCGGACACCTTGCTTTGAGTACAGCATTCTTGCTACTGTATTTGCCAATGGTATGTGTTGTGTTGATTCGTCTAAACCAAACTTTAAACCATATGGACAGACATAAACCCTATGCACTGTGTATTATTGATTTGTCCAGATTTCTCTCTTCTGTTAAAGATATCACCTATGCAGTTAATTTCTTTGTATACTTAATATTTCTGAGAAATTTCAGACAAAGTTTTTGGAATATATTCAGAAGCATGTGTTGTAAACAGGCACTAACTGCACCTCAGTTAACACTTTACAGACAAGAAGACAAGAGGCAGAATAATAAGTTTAGACGTGCAAAAACTGTTCCACACTTTTGAGGATTATTGAATCATATTTCAAGTTAATTCACTTATACTACGCCATGTTTATTTCTGTTTTTGACAGTTCATATACACAGCAACACATTTCTGTATAACTGTATATATTATATGGTTCGTATACCTATCTGTCTAACAGTGAATTCTCACGCAAACCTAAACTGGACGGATAAATGAAGTCATACTCTTCGCCTACTGACTAAAGATATCAGTAGTTTCTGAATTTAACATAAATAAACCCTCGAACATTTTATGGAATGAATTGTTTTACAAAATTAATCCTCACAAAGCAACTATAGAAAATGAATAATGTATTTGTAATAAAAGTTTATACAGTAAGTTTCTAATTTCGACACTTCTAATGATTTATCTCATAATCCATAATAATTTTTTCCTTTAAAATATTCCTTTAAAGAAATCGCAGAACCCTGTCTGTCACTTACCACTTTACGTTGCCTCTCGAATGAACGGAATATGGGTCTACTCATCAAAATGTTACTGAGACAGCATACACTATTTTACCATAGGTATCCTAAGAGTATTCTCTGCGTTCCTCAAAACCACAGGTTGAATTTCATGAGATAGTCCTCGTCCAATGTAATCATCAATGAATGTGTTCACAGTTAATGTGGTAATATTTGCTACAGCTAAAGAGATAGCATAGAATGAAAATCTTGAATATGGCCGATCCTGAGCAAAAATAACTATTATGAAAATATTGCCTGTCACTCCGACGACAGCAATTATTGGGCATGCATAAGCGCGAAAATCTCCTACTAAGTAACTATAATCCGTTGTGTTACTGCAAATCATTTCAGTAGAATCAGTCAACAATGAATAGACACAATTTGTATAGTGATGCAGTTTGACAGTTTCATTTTCACTCACAGTTCAAATCTGTTCTGATTATCTCGACTATATAACTGTTTTTCATGTATGTACTTGAAAAGACAAAAAATTCTCCTTAGATTATCCAATAAGAATCGTCAAAATAATATCACACAATCAAAAGAAAGTTCATTATGAATCATCGATTAAATGCAAACTGAGTAGAACTCATTGAAAAATAAAATATATATACTTGTTCAGTTCGTATGACAAAGATGTATAATATCTTAAGTTCAAGATAAAACGATAGAAATAAATACTTGTAAAGTTCAAAGGTTATATTCCAGTGAAAACAAAACACATAGTTCAACCAAGAGTCTCTTTTCGGCGAATTCATTTACTTAGCTGTACAATCTGCAATTATATATATATACTTATTTTTGTATGTGTGTGTACTTTCGGTTTGTCTGATCACAACTCACTGATTAAACTATTCATCTTATTACGTAACTGTATTTATTACGCTTATTCAACTTCTTTTGTTGTTTCTTTTGACAACACATCACCACTACCCTTTCACCAATCTTCACCACCATTCCCCGCAGTTACAGTTTGATTACTCATTACATTTTTGAAATGTGTTGACAACAATGACCCTAACATATTCAGGTGTCGAAATACAGTTGTAGTTAAGGCTATGAAATGCAACTGAGGCTATTTCTATCAAAGGTATCATATATTGGACTCTGATGATGTAAGTGAATGAACACTATTAACTGGATTCATTAAAAACACATACTAATCAGATTATCGTTGTAATCATACACAGCTGATGAGCTTGATTTGAAGTAAACAGATCGGTATAAACTGGCCAGTCAATGTTGATTGATTTGTTTATTAATTTTTTAGTAAATCGATAATGCTTGTGTAGCATATTTCTTAGAATTCAAAGTGTATATATTTATTTCATTGGCAAAATAACTGAAGTCATCACATTCTGAAGGGAAAGAATGAACATTAGAGCAGAATAATGCGGGTCCACATCACTTTTAATGGTTTTCTTCATATGTGCACAATTTTTAAAATTTAATAAGACGAGTTATAGTAAAATTTTACAGTAAAATTTTAACAACGTCATAGTGAAATGGAACATAAGGATAACACGTTATCTTTAAGCATTACAATATATATATATATATATTTGACCATAGTTCCTCGTAAAAACTATTTTAAGGGGCAGTTTGATAGGTCAGAAAGAATTAGGCAACAAGACCGAATGAAATAAGATGAGAAGAACTCACAAGTTTATAATAAAATACAGTGCGTAGAACTTAGAGGACTGAAAATTAAAGTCCAGTATGAGATCCAAAAGAAAACGAAGAGACAAAATGATGAAGAGTAGGGCTATTTCGTCTGTTAATTACTTTCCATCTGAGTTGACTACCTATTTATTTGTTTCTAAGATGAAAATTTCCACATTTAATCTCTTGAATGGTCTTCAATGATTACTTATGTTTCAACGCAAGGATCTATATAGTTAAGACCTTATGGGTTAGTGTGTGGTAGGCAACAGTCACCTAGACGCCTGTCGACCATTTTCGTACAACTTAGGGGTTCGACTCGATGGAAGAAAGCATACCCTGCATTCTAAATCCTCGTTTTTGATGATTTGTTAAAAAATGTTACAAAAGGAAGAGCTCAATAAATAATTAAGTCAAGAGATTTTGATCCATGTTGAGAAAAAATACAAGTGCATAAAGAGAAAAGTAGCGAATTGATTCTCCTAAATGTCCTGAAAATTGGACATCACCGATAAGATTCCCGTCAAATACAGGACAGTATTTAGACAATTTTCAACTTACTGCTTTTCGTGTCATTCAGTCTCATGGTTCTACCCTCACGGTAGAAAACTTTAGAATAGTTGTTATCTGGTTGATAAGATGAAAATGTAAGTCCACTGTAAGGTAATGGTTGTGCATTTCATATACTAAAATATACTAGCCTTATTAAACGTACAATGCCTAATCGCCCATTCAATCGGTGTATTACCTGACTTGTAATTACTCATAAAAAACGCGAATCGAAAAGACAGTTATTACGAAATGCACTCTAATGAGCTATATGTTTAAATAGAATAAAATATTGAGGTTATATAGGGTAAAGATTTCTGAACTTGTCTGGTTAAAGAGGCTGAACTAAGGACCGTGGGTATGTGAGTAATATCAGCGCAAAATAAAACCACAGAATGTCGTCCGAATCTGGTTAGATGCCTACCCGTTGAAAAAAATTAAATAATCTAAAATATCAGCAAGCGAGCTAGGCGTTTATCTAGATAATGTTAAATTGATTCATGTTGATCTATTCATTTTAGTCATAGGTTTATTTTGGTGCGATAGAGCACTTTCTAGATTTGTAAGCATAAACTGACATCTTCGCCTAGTGAAAACTGCCCTATGCTTAAGACAACACATCAGAGAATTTCCCCCTATTAAATTAAATCTCATCCTCTGCAAACATCCAGATTAAGTATACAATTGCTGGATGGTGGCTAGCAGTAGAATCCAGGATGCGCATTTCGTCCAATTTGGGACTCGTCAGCTGGATGTACCTGCATTTGTCAGTGAGTGATTATGTTCCCACCGAGGCTCGAACCCAGTACCCATAGTTTCAAACGCCAAAGCGTTATCCACTAGTCCACTTGGGCCACGAGAGCCACATCTAGTGCAACGGGTCATAGTAACTATTGAATTGAATTTTTGATTTTCCCATCCATATTAAGGTTACAGAAGACTGAATAACCTGCCCAATTCCATCTGCATCTGTCAGTTTAATCGCTTCTGTGGAGCCAGTTCCATAGAATGTGAAATGAGGCAGGTTTATGGTGAAACCTCTGATTACCAGTCATTATGGAGTACAAAATCACAAAGTAGTTTTCTACTTTCACACATGGTTAACTTTGGACTATATAACGAAGGGATTATTTTTCTATTCGCGAAGATGAAAAACTAGCAGTTATATTTTTGCTCAGTCTTGTTGACTCACTGTACATTCAACTTATCAAGCGAAGCTGTGCCAAATAAAGTTCGATGTCATCGGTAATAACTTGAGATAATAACACTTTTCACTATTAATTGTTCCTTGAGTTTTGAGAAGCTCGCTGTCAGAGTTCCTTGTTGTTTACCCTATATGACCAGACGTTGGATTTTCAGTGCTGAGAAAAGCAGCTGTTGATGAAGACTTCCAGTCTGTCGGAAACGCTTTGGATGACGCTCACTCCAAATCGCTGGGTCATTTCTTTATCATCTCTGAAGTGACCTAATGTTTTGCTCAGAATTGACAGAAGTATGATGTTATACCAGTTGTTGCGTGAACATAAGTCGAACTTCTTTGACACTAAAGTGTCAAGGTAGACTTTCTGCAACTAGCAGATACACTTTCCCCCTACCAAGTCTTCTGCAATAGCCATGTGAACATATCAGCTGAGGTCTCTAGTTTCAGTATGAATACTTCTAGGGGGAATTCCATCTGGTCCTGCTGCTTTCCCAGGCTTCAGCATGATGGCCTTTAATATTTCTGATTTTGTTGGACGTTCAGATTCCACCAATAATTGGGATTATCACGCCAGTAATTTGGTGCCTGGTGGTGGTGTTTCTGGATGAGTTGCAAATATTGGTAGGTTCAAAATTCCTTTAAATGATCAGCACGCAGTTTCCACTCTTTCACTTATTTGGTATATAGGTCTCCTCCGTTACATTTCATCGATTTCATTCACGTTAATCTCTTCGCGGATATTTTCCTGGTTGTTTTATATGGTGTTCTGACATCTCTCTTACCTTCAGCCTGTACTGCTAGTTTCCAGAATGTTGTAAAAG